TATGAATAATTAATTAGCCTCGTGTGCGTGAGAAGGTGAACGTCAGCAATGGAGTCGGATGCCACGGTTCCTTAGGTTTCAAACCCTGTGGCTCACAGAGCCAGACTGAGGCTCCCATAGGGTTCAGTGTTAATCACTGAGGCTCACAGAGCCAGACTAAGGCTCCCACAGGGTTCAGTGTTAATCACTGAGACTCACAGAGCCAGACCGAGGCTCCCACAGGGTTCAGTGTTAATCACTGAGGCTCACAGAGCCAGACTAAGGCTCCCACAGGGTTCAGTGTTAATCACTGAGACTCACAGAGCCAGACTAAGGCTCCCACAGGGTTCAGTGTTAATGACTGAGACTCACAGAGCCAGACTAAGGCTCCCACAGGGTTTAGTGTTAATCACTGAGACTCACAGAGCCAGACTGAGGCTCCCACAGGGTTCAATGTTAATCACTGAGACTCACAGAGCCAGACTAAGGCTCCCACAGGGTTCAGTGTTAATCAATGAGGCTCACAGAGCCAGACTAAGGCTCCCACAGGGTTCAGTGTTAATGACTGAGACTCACAGAGCCAGACTAAGGCTCCCACAGGGTTCAGTGTTAATCACTGAGACTCACAGAGCCAGACCGAGGCTCCCATAGGGTTCAGTGTTAATCACTGAGACTCACAGAGCCAGACTAAAGCTCACACAGGGTTCAGTGTTAATCACTGAGACTCACAGAGCCAGACTGAGGCTCCCACAGGGTTCAGTGTTAATCACTGAGGCTCACAGAGCCAGACTAAGGCTCCCACAGGGTTCAGTGTTAATCACTGAGGCTCACAGAGCCCGACTAAGGCTCCCACAGGGTTCAGTGTTAATCACTGAGACTCACAGAGCCAGACTAAGGCTCCCACAGGGTTCAGTGTTAATGACTGAGACTCACAGAGCCAGACTAAGGCTCCCACAGGGTTCAGTGTTAATCACTGAGACTCACAGAGCCAGACTGAGGCTCCCACAGGGTTCAATGTTAATCACTGAGACTCACAGAGCCAGACTAAGGCTCCCACAGGGTTCAGTGTTAATCACTGAGGCTCACAGAGCCAGACTAAGGCTCCCACAGGGTTCAGTGTTAATGACTGAGACTCACAGAGCCAGACTAAGGCTCCCACAGGGTTCAGTGTTAATCACTGAGACTCACAGAGCCAGACCGAGGCTCCCATAGGGTTCAGTGTTAATCACTGAGACTCACAGAGCCAGACTAAAGCTCACACAGGGTTCAGTGTTAATCACTGAGACTCACAGAGCCAGACTGAGGCTCCCACAGGGTTCAGTGTTAATCACTGGGGCTCACAGAGCCCGACTAAGGCTCCCACAGAGTTCAGTGTTAATCACTGAGGCTCACAGAGCCCGACTAAGGCTCCCACAGGGTTCAGAGTTAATCACTGAGGCTCATAGAGCCAGACTAAGGCTCACACAGGGTTCAGTGTTAATCAGTGAGGCTCACAGAGCCCGACTAAGGCTCCCACAGGGTTCAGTGTTAATCACTGAGACTCACAGAGCCAGACTAAGACTCCCACAGGGTTCAGTGTTAATCAGTGATACTCACAGAGCCAGACCAAGGCTCCCACAGGGTTCAGTGTTAATCACTGGGGCTCACAGAGCCCGACTAAGGCTACCACAGGGTTCAGTGTTAATCACTGAGGCTCATAGAGCCAGACTAAGGCTCACACAGGGTTCAGTGTTAATCACTGAGGCTCATAGAGCCAGACTAAGGCTCCCACAGGGTTCAGTGTTAATCACTGAGACTCACAGAGCCAGACTAAGACTCCCACAGGGTTCAGTGTTAATCAGTGATACTCACAGAGCCAGACTAAGGCTCCCACAGGGTTCAGTGTTAATGACTGGGCCTCACAGAGCCAGGCTAAGTGTATATAAACAATATGAGCTGTAACACACAGGTATACACAACAACTCGTGCCAGGCTAGGTGCAAGAAGAGAGGTCACGGGACAAAACCAGGTGCCATGGGTTGACTGCTGTGCCAGGCTAGGTACAGGAGGCAGAGGTCACGGGACAGACCCACGTGCTCTGTGGGGTGACTGCTGTGCCAGGCTAGGTACAGGAGGAAGAGGTCACGGGACAGACCCACGTGCTCTCTGGGTTCAGTTCAGTCCAGTTTATTTTGGTATAGCCCTGTGAGCCATCCGGCTCTTGAATCGGAGTGCAACCACAACAAACAAAAAAAACAAAAAAGACGAACAGGAAAAACATCTTAAAGTGACTGCGTGTGTGTTGACTGTGGAAACAGAAAATCCATGGGAAAAAAAACCAGCAAAAATATTCCTGAAAAAAAGCACCGTACACCACCAACGCTGCGTTCAAAAAAATCCCAGTGGGATGCAAGTCAAACAACAACAACAAGCACAACAAAAACTTAGATTAAGGCCATCAGTCTAACTCCGTACTACAACAACAACAACAAGGAACATGTCCAAACCAAAAAAACGTTTTCCAAATCACCCAAAAATGAAGCCACAATTGCAACGTAACAGTGATCACAAGGACTGTGACCGAATTTTTAACAATAAACTACATAAATAATAACATGTAACACCAAACCCTAGAGCCATAGCTGGCTGTATGAGTTACTCCACAACAACAGACTGCTGTGCCAGGCTAGGTACAGGAGGAGGAGGTCACGGGACAGACCCACGTGCTCTGTGGGTTGACTGCTGTGCCAGGCTAGGTACAGGATGAGGAGGAGGTCACGGGACAGCCCCACGTGCTCTGTGGGGTGACTGCTGTGCCATGCCAAGGTGCAGGATGAAGAGGAGGAGGTCACGGGACACCCAGGTGCTCGAGGCTGACAGATGGTTCACATATTCTAACGCAACACAAAAGCTCCCCCGTGTAGCCTGCAAAAGTCTGTCGGGGCAAATGCTGTTAACGAGTGCCACCACCTTCCGGGAAGGGGGAGGGGTTGGCATGGACACAGCACCACCCCATTCCCAACCGCCTTTGTCTCCCCAACGTTGATATTTGTTAAACGAAACACCCGGTCAACCCTGTTGTCTATACCCACCGTTCGGTGAACGTCACTTCACTGGGTAAATCGTTTAATGCTGAGTCGACCTAGGGGAGACCCCCAGGACTGGAGATGTTGGCTGTGAGCGGGAATCCAACTCAAGTCTCCGCCCGTGTTCGTTCCTTGCACCCCGCAGCGCTAACCACTGCGCCACCGCTCCCCACTGGCACACCCAGGCAAAGACAAAGATTCCCCGTATAGCCTCAAATAGGCTGTTGGTTTGGAGGGGGGGGGGGGGGGGCAAGTGCTGGATGCGAGTATCAGCAGCACCTATGAAGACCGACACGGCACAGGAGGTGGTGGTGGTGGTGGTTGGCCGGCTCCACGCCCTGCCACCTTTGTCTCCCCAGCGGCGATGTTTACTACACACCGCACCAGGTACCCATTTGAGGCTAAGTCGACCGAGCGGAGGCCCAGGACCCGGTGCAGGTAATCGTCACTGGTGCTGGTGACCATGAGCAGGAACCTTAACTCGGGCCGACGCCGGGTTCGTAGCGCAGCTCAGCTCACCGCAGTGCCACCCCTCCCTCGCCACTCGCACTCAAAGAACAACCTCACGACAAGCACACACACACCCTGACACAGTGACACCTGCATGAACACACACACACACACAAACCCACACCCACACACACCCACACACACCCACACAGGGAGACACACGGCTAACCGTGAGATATTCCTACATACTCGAACCCCCAATTCGAACTCATGTCCCCAGGTTCAGCGGCAGAGTCTCCAACCGACCTTGTCAGAGCGAGGCAGGGTCTACCAAATCATCGACATGCATAGCACGGTTGACCGGCCGGCAACCATCTCTCGACCTCACCCGAGCGGGCATAGATCGATCGATCGATCGGCCTCCCATTGTATCTTCTCCACCAGATGCGAACTGCTCTGGGAGTCGAACTCGGGTGTGGCCCGGTTGAGTCGGTGCTACCACCACCACCCCCCCCCCCAACCTCCGCCCACGCCGGTTCGGACCCAGGGCATTTACTTATCCCGGGAGAAATCCGATGAGCCGCGAAGCTTTCCCACGGATGTCCAGCAGGGGCAGGAGGTCAGACTCGCGCGCCCGCCCGCCCCCGCGCGCGGCAACAAGAACCAGGGCCGCTATTCGCCACTCGGCGGCGGTGACGTCACAACGGCGGCGGTGACGTCACAACGGCGGCGGTGACGTCACAACGGCGTCGCTGCGGCCTTGGGGAGGGCCACGTGGGCTAGGGGAGAGCCAAAGTAGCGCATCGAAGGCTCGCTTTGCCGGCACGGGGAGCCACCTCCTCGCCCGCCCCCCCCGGGGAGACACCCGGAAGGCTGCCGTGGGTGGGGGTCGACTGACCAAGACGACCCCCGTCAGGATGCACCAAAAGTGTCGCTGCTCCAACTCCCACCCCCACACACCCCCTTGCCAACTTTCGGTGTTTCAGCCGCCCGGCGCTCGCACTCGAAAGGGAATTCGCACACAGCCGCGCGTGTGTTTGTACTGCTCGGGAAGAGGCGGGTGGTTGACGCGGTGCGTCCCGTGACCCCACGTCCCCCAAGTGTCTACCCCCCCCCCCCCCCCAACCCACCCGCTCCGCCTGTACCCTGTGTATCCCCGGTGTTTCCCCGTGCTCCTTCCGCCCAGTGCCAACCCGTCTGCGAAATCCCCTTGCAACCGTGTGTCTCTCGATGTATCCGCACGTGACACCACCCCCCCCTCCCACCACCCCCCCCCACCCCCAACGTCTCCGAGTCACCCGGAGGCTCCCCGAGTCTCCCCGTCTCTAGCCGTACCCCGCCGGGTCTCCCCAAGCCTCACCGGATCTCCCCCCCCCCCCCAGTGTCTCCTCATGTCCCACCATGTCTCCCCTATTCGTGTGTGTCCCCCACCCACCCACCCACCCACCCACCCACCCGTCCCCCTCCTCACAACCCAGTCCCCGTGCGTGCGTCTCCGCGTCTCACCTGCCACGCCTGCCCTTGAGCGGTCGCATCCATTCGCCAGCCGGGCCTCCTAGGCGAGACGACAGGCCTCCCGCGGCCCCGGACAGCTAGGCCTCATCCCCAGCCTGAGGCATCGGACGTTCCGTTGTCTTTTCTCTCCGCCCCCGAAGCGCCACCCACTCCTGATGTCGACTCCCGCGCTGTCCCGGGACAGCAACGATGACTCCGCTATGCTGGGTCCCGAAGACTCTGAACACAAGTTGCGGGGACTCCCTCACGCTAGAACGAACCTTCCAAGTTCTAACCTCGACACCAACTTCCTGCCCTAGTCTCTTCAAGGCTCCGAACCACGACACGGATTTCCTACTCCTGACTCCCAACACGGACTCCCCCCCCCCCTACTCTGGCCCCGAGACTCCTAACTCTGACCACAGACTCCCCCTACTCTGGCCCCGAGACTCCTAACTCTGGCCCCGAGACTCCTAACTCTGGCCCCGAGACTCCTAACTCTGGCCCCGAGATTCCTAACTCTGGCCCCGAGACTCCTAACTCTGGCCCCGAGACTCCTAACTCTGACCACAGACTCGACCCCTACTCTAGCCCCGAGGCTCCTAGCTGTGACTCGAAGTCCCCTAACACCCCTGCCTCCTGACTCCCGACACGTTCGCCGCGTCCCCACTTGTAGTAGCCTCTCCGCCCACCGGTTGCCTCCGGCAATTTCCCCGCTCCTCTGGTGCTGGAGCGGCGGCCTTGGGGCCCCGTTTCTCGCGTCCAGAGCCGGCCCGCCTAGGTGCTTGCCGCTGCCACGCGATTAGTGAGCAGCTTCATACGCGGAGGTCTCCTCCACATTCCGTCAGCTTAAGGAAAAAGTCTGCCCGGGACTGCTGCCGCGTAGTCCCGCCGAGCCCGCCCGAACTCCTCGTGCGGGAGACGCTCGCTGACGTCGGCTAATGTCGGAGCGGATGGCGCCGCCGCCGCTGCCGCCGCTGCTTCCTTGTGCTCGCTCCGGCCGCTTGCGCTCGCCGCTCACGGCAAGGCGCTCAACGCGCTCACACGCCGATCGCGAACGCCGATCGCGAACGCCGATCGCGAACGCCGATCGCGAACGCCCGATCGCCGATGCCTCGCCGCGACCGCTCACGCCGCTCACGCTCACCGCTCACGCCAACACATCGGTCGCTCACGCACGCTCACACCCCGACCGCTCACACCCCGACCGCTCGCACCCCGAACGATCGCACCCCGAACGATCGCGCGCGATGCCTCGCGAGTTCGGATTCTCGCACAAATCCCTTGCGGTATTCCACCGGTCTCCCGTTACGTCAAACCGCGGTCACGGACAACGCTCGCTCCGCCTGCCCGCCACTAACTCCTTCCACTGCTGCTCACCAATTGCACCTCACCAACGATCCCTGACATCTCCCACTGACACCACCACCACCATCACCATCACCACGACACGGCCACCACTACCGCCAAAGTATCCCAGTAGCACCTGCATATAGCACCTGCATATAGCACACACGGAGCACCCCGAGTTAAGATAATAAAATAATGAGAGTTAATAATATAAAAAAGTGAATCGATCAAGATTTCAATTACCCTTTAAATAACGTAACAAAAGTGAATTAGTTGAGATTTCAATCAGCCGTTAAATAATTCAAAAACAATTTTTTTTTAAACAAAACATCACAGGATAAAACACGCGTTAAATTAATCGCAATCGTTTAAATTACAACCCACCCCACCCCAAAATTATTATTTTTTTAATATATATAAAAAAAATAAAGCGTCCGTTCGTCGTTCAAATCACCGAATGATAACAAAAGCGAACGTTTATCATTCACTTAAATTCATCAGGCGAGTGGAGTAGTAGTAGTGGTAGTAGTGGTGGGAGGTCACCCAAATTGACATCGGCACCCAATCAGCTGGCGAGGTCCAGCAGCGCTTCCCAAAGTGCCACTGATAACGTTACGTGCGCACGTGCGTGTGTATGTGTGTGTGTATATATATAAAGTGTGTGTATTTTATATATAAAGTGTATAAATTACGTGATTACAAATCGCATCGACGCTTTTCGGAGTTGTCGGGGGAGGGGGGGGGTGGTGGTGGTTTCGGTTGGGGCGGTAACAACTAGGCCGCTCTGCGGAGCCTACGGTCTTGCCTAGAATCTCTACCCGAGGCCGACACCCCCCCCCTGCCCGCAACGCACCGCACGCACCCCCCCCACCACCACCACCACCACGCCCGGCTCTTTCTCTACCCCTGCCAGCAGAGTTTTCTCACACAGACAGACACACAGACACACAACACCTCGCCCCCCCTCCCCCCCGGGGTAGAATTCAACGTTCTGTCTCTCTCTGTCTCTCTCTGTCTGTCTCTCAACGTGTCTGTCGTGTCCGGGAGATATCCTTGAAATCAATCAGCTTCGCTCCATTTAAATAGAAAAAAATTCCACCACCTTTCCTCTTACCCCCCCTCCTCCCCCTCAACGATCTCTTCCTCCTCTTATTCCTCCTCCTCTTTTATTCCTCCTCCTCCTCTTATTCCTCCTCCTCCTCCTCCTCTTATTCCTCCTCCTCCTCTTATTCCTCCTCTTATTCCTCCTCCTCCTCTTATTCCTCCTCTTATTCCTCCTCCTCCTCTTCCTCCTCTTCGTCCTCCTCTTATTCCTCCTCCTCTTAGTCCTCCTCCTCTTATTCCTCCTCCTCTTATTCCTCCTCTTATTCTTCGTCCTCCTCTTATTCCTCCTCTTCTTCCTCCTCTTCTTCCTCCTCTTCTTCCTCCTCTGCTTCCTCCTCTTCTTCCTCCTCTTCTTCCTCCTCCTCTTCCTCCTCTTCTTCCTCCTCGTATTCCTTCTCCTCCTCCTCTTCCTCCTCTTCCTCTTCTCTTCCTCTTATTCCTCCTCCTCGTCCTCTAAAGCGACCGAACAATCTGCTGGCGATGCCCCTGAAATGTTGCCGTATTCACACGGTGCCGTATTCACACGGTGCCGCTCGTCGCTGTCCGTTCGGGGTCTCCTCCTTTCAAGAGGAGGGAGGAGAGGTGGTGGTGGTGATGGTGGTGGTGGGTTGGTGGTGGTGGGTTGGTGGTGGTGGTGGTGATGGTGGTGGTGGTGGGTTGGTGGTGGTGGGTTGGTGGTGGTGGGTTGGTGGTGGTGGGTTGGTGGTGGTGGGTTGGTGGTGGTGGGTTGGTGGTGGTGGGGGGTTGGTGGTGGTGGTGGTGGGTTGGTGGTGGTGGTGTTGGTGGTGGTGGTGGGTTGGTGGTGGTGGGTTGGTAGTGGTGATGGTGGGTTGGTGGTGGTGGTGGGTTGGTGGTGGTGGTGGTGGGTTGGTGGTGATGGTGGGTTTGTGGTGGTGGTGGTGATGGGTTGGTCGTGATGGTGGTGGATTGGTGGTGGTGGTGATGGTGGCTTGGTGGTGGATTGGTGGTGGTGGTGATGGTGGTGATGGGTTGGTGGTGGTGGTGGTGATGGGTTGGTGGTGGTGTTGATGGTGGTGGTGCTGGTGCTGGTGGGTTGGTGGTGGTGGTGGATTGGTGATGGTGGTGGTCGACGTTTCGCTTACGGATTCAAGAGAGCAGGATGGCGAGTGGAGGCTCCATCATCATCACCACCACCATCGTCATCATCATCATCATGATTATGTCACCAAGCCTCATTCTGGCGCTCTTCCTCTGGCTATCCCAGAGATGTTGTCATCATCCTCCTGCTCGTCGCCCAGAGATCTCTTCCCTCCTCCCCTCTCGCCAAGCAACGCTCCTTGTAACCTCCTCCTCCTCCTCTGTCGCCCTTTGCGCTTGTCCGGTAGCTCTGAGCGAATAGCAGCCGGATTGGGTGTCTTCTAATGTCTGGGTGACTTCTTCTGATGTCTGAGTGTCTTTTTCTGATGTCTGGGTGTCTTCTGGGTGTCTGGGTGTCTTCACCTGATGTCTGGGTGTCTTCTAATGTCTGGGTGTCTTATTCTGGGTGTCTTCTAATGTCTGGGTGTCACCTAATGTCTGAGTGTCTTCACCTGATGTCTGGGTGTCTTCTGGGTGTCTGGGTGTCTTCTGATGTCTGGGTGTCTTCTTCTGGGTGTCTGTCTGGGTGTCTGTCTGGGTGTCTTCTCTCCTGGGTGTCTGTCTGGGTGTCTTCTCTCCTGGGTGTCTGTCTGGGTGTCTGTCTGGGTGTCTGTCTGGGTGTCTTCACCTGGGTGTCTGTCTGGGTGTCTTCTCTCCTGGGTGTCTGTCTGGGTGTCTTCACCTGGGTGTCTGTCTGGGTGTCTGTCTGGGTGTCTTCACCTGGGTGTCTGTCTGGGTGTCTGTCTGGGTGTCTTCACCTGGGTGTCTGTCTGGGTGTCTGTCTGGGTGTCTTCACCTGGGTGTCTGTCTGGGTGTCTTATCTTCTGATGTCTGGGTGTCTTCACCTGGGTGTCTGTCTGGGTGTCTTATCTTCTGATGTCTGGGTGTCTTCACCTGAGTGTCTGTCTGGGTGTCTGTCTGGGTGTCTGTCTGGGTGTCTGGTGTCTCTCCCTCCTCCTACCACCACCACCACCACCTCATCGTCGTGTCTGTCTGCTGCCCTTCCTTGTCGTCCACCTATCTCCCTGCCCCGTGCTTATCACCTCTTCTTCCTCGTGTCTCTACTCCGCGTGTCTCGCTCTCTTCCTCATCCACCACCACCACCACCACGTGTCTCTCTCCTCCTCCACGTGTCTCTCTGTCCGTGTCTCTCTCCTCCACGTGTCTCTCTCCTCCTCCACGTGTCTCTCTGTCTCTCCTCCTCCACGTGTCTCTCTGTCCGTGTCTCCTCCTCCACGTGTCTCTCCTCCTCCTCCACGTGTCTCTCTGTCCGTGTCTCTCTGTCCGTGTCTCTCTCCTCCTCCACGTGTCTCTCCTCCACGTGTCTCTCTCCTCCACGTGTCTCTCTGTCCGTGTCTCCTCCTCCACGTGTTTCTCTCCTCCACGTGTCTCTCTGTCCGTGTCTCTCTCCTCCACGTGTCTCTCCTCCACGTGTCTCTCTCCTCCACGTGTCTCCCTCCTCCACGTGTCTCTCTGTCCGTGTCTCCTCCTCCACGTGTCTCCCTCCTCCACGTGTCTCTCTGTCCGTGTCTCTCTCCTCCACGTGTCTCTCTCCTCCACGTGTGTCTCCTCCACGTGTCTCTCTGTCCGTGTCTCTCTCCTCCTCCACGTGTCTCTCCTCCACGTGTCTCTCTTCCTCCACGTGTCTCTCTGTCCGTGTCTCTCTCCTCCTCCACGTGTCTCTCTCCTCCACGTGTGTCTCCTCCACGTGTCTCTCTGTCCGTGTCTCTCTCCTCTTCCCTGTGTCTCTCTCCTCCACGTGTCCGTCTCCTCCCCTCTCCTCTTCCTCGTGTAGACGCCTCTCTCCTCCTCACCTCTGGTGATGTCTCCCGACTCTCTCTAGAGAGAGAGAGACACAAGAGACAGACGAGACACGCCGCTCTCCACTCACGGCGTCTCCCCTTTCTCTCGCCTCTCTCGCTCTCTCCCTCCCCTCTCTCTCTCGCTCTCTCCCCCCTCTCTCCCCCCACTCTCCCTCCCCGCTCTCGCTCTCTCCCTACCCTCTCTCGCTCTCTCGCTCTCTCCCCCCACTCTCTCTCCCCCCCTCTCTCTCTCCCCTCTCTCGCTCTCTCCCTCCCTCTCTCTCTCTCGCTCTCCCTACCCTCTCTCTTTCGCTCTCCCCACTCTCTCTCCCCACTCTCTCGCTCTCTCCCCCCACTCTCTCTCCCCACTCTCTCCCCACTCTCTCTCGCTCTCCCCACTCTCTCTCTTCCGTCTCTCTCCCCTCCCACTCGCTCTCTCTTTGTCTGCCCGGCGTCTCTCGGTGTGTAACTCACTGGCGAGAGAGCTCCTCCCCTCTCTTTGTCTCTCTCCCCCCTCCCTCCCCGTGTGTGTCTGTCTGTGTCTTTGTCTCTGAGCGTGCAAGTCTCTGTGTGTGCGTGCGTGCGTCTCTCTGTCTTCGTGTCTCTGTGTGTGTATGTGTCTGTGTGTGTCTCTCTGTGTGTGTATTTGTCTGTGTGTGTCTGTGTTTGTCTGTGTGTGTCTCTCTATGTGTGTATTTGTCTGTGTGTGTCTATGTGTGTATTTGTCTGTGTGTGTCTGTGTGTGTCTATGTGTGTATTTGTCTGTGTGTGTCTGTGTGTGTTTCTCTATGTGTGTATTTGTCTGTGTGTGTCTGTGTTTGTCTATGTGTATATTTGTCTGTGTGTGTCTCTGTGTGTGCGTATTTGTCTGTGTGTGTCTGTGTGTGTCTGTGTTTGTTTGTGTGTGTGTCTCTCTATGTGTGTATTTGTCTGTGTGTGTCTGTGTGTGTGTGTATTTGTCTGTGTGTGTCTGTGTGTGTCTCTCTGTGTGTGTATTTGTCTGTGTGTGTCTGTGTGTGTCTGTGTTTGTTTGTGTGTGTCTGTGTGTGTCTCTCTGTGTGTGTATTTGTCTGTGTGTGTGTCTGTGTGTGTGTCTATGTGTGAGTGTCTGTGTGTGTGTCTATGTGTATGTGTCTATGTGTGTGTCTATGTGTGAGTGTGTCTGTGTCTATGTGTCCGTTCCTCCGTGTCTGTGTGTCTCTCTGTCTGTGTGTCTCTGTGTATCCGTGTCTCTGTGTGTATACGTGTGTGTCGATGCGTCTGTGTCTCTGTGTGTCTCTCTGTCTGTGTGTCTCTGTGTATCCGTGTCTCTGTGTGTATGCGTGTGTGTCGATGCGTCTGTGTCTCTGTGTGTCTCTCTGTCTGTGTGTCTCTGTGTATCCGTGTCTCTGTGTGTATACGTGTGTGTCGATGTGTCTGTGTCTCTGTGTCTCTCCGTCTGTCTCATCCCTCCCCCCCACCCCTGTGGCTCGCTCTCTTCCTCTCAGTCTCTCAGCCGGGAGAGTCCTAAGCCATTTAACTATCACTCTCTCCACACTCTCCTCTCGCTCTCCAATTATCTCTCTCTAACCCCTGTGGCTCTCTCCATCCCACACAAACACAACGACCCCTCCCTCTCTCCATCTCTCTCCCCGCCCACTCCTCTCTCTCTCTCTCCGTACAGAATCTCACTCTGTCATCTCTTATTAATCACTCCCACTCGCCCCTCCCACTCTTACTTTAGCTCCTCCCACTCTCCATCTGACTCCTCCCACTTTCCCACTCGCTTCTCCTCCCACTCTCCCTCTCGCTCCTCCTCCCACTCACCATCTGACTCCTCCCACACTCCCACTCGCTCCTCCCACTCTCCCTTTCGCTCCTCCTCCCACTCTCCATCTGACTCCTCCCACTCTCCCACTCGCTCCTCCTCCCACTCTCCCTCTCGCTCCTCCCACTCTCCCTTTCGCTCCTCCTCCCACTCTCCATCTGACTCCTCCCACTCTCCCACTCGCTCCTCCTTCCACTCTCCCTCTCGCTCCTCCTCCCACTCTCCATCTGACTCCTCCCACTCTCCCACTCGCTCCTCCCACTCTCCATCTGACTCCTCCCACTCTCCCTCTCGCTCCTTCCACTTTCCCTCTCGCTCCTCCCACTCTCCCTCTGACTCCTCCCACTTTCCCTCTCGCCCCTCC